GGGGCGGCGGGGGAGGCGGCAGCACCCAGTCCTTCCTGCGGCCGCCCGGGACTGTGCAGTCCGCGGCGCTCATGGCCACGCACCAGCCCCTGTCGCTGAGCCGGACGACTGCCACCATCGCGCCCATCCTGAGCGTGCCGCTGTCTGGACAGTTCCTGCAGCCCGCAGCCTCAGCCGCAGCTGCTGCCGCCGCCGCCGTTCAAGCCAAGTGGCCCGCGCAATAGTGATGAGCCGGTGGTGGCCCGGCCGGGCGGCGGCCTCTGACAGAGCCTGCGCCTTCAGGCTGTGCGCCCGCTCTAGTCCTGGTCCTTCTGCCCTGGTCTTGGTCCCTCTACCCCAATCATGGACTCTACTACCCGCCCCCGGCTCCCCAACACCGACCAACAGCGGCCTCCGTCCCCTGGTTCAACCTAAGCTAGCCGAGCAAACTCAACACGCGTCCGCTGGGAATAGCTTTCCATACAGGTAAAACTGATAACCGAATTTCCAAAAAAATACACCCCGACGGCGCCTGCTCTCAGTACTGTGGGGGGGTGGGAGGGAAATTCTTTGTACATATTTGTATAAAAATCATTGACTTTCCTTTTGGGGTTTTTATTTTTTTAAGAAAAAATTCAGTAGATTTAGAGCTCTGAACTTTCATTTTTTTGAAGGTTCACTCTCCGCAGTTTTATCTGAGAAAAAGAATGTATAGAGACGTTGGGAGATTTTAAATACAAAAAACAATTTTTCAAAAAGGCGAAGTGTCATTGTATTATAAAAGTCTGTTTATATATGAATGAATATATATGGTATTCTAAATGTTATTCCATCGTGTTGTACACAACTTTGTAAATAAATTTTTAAAATGCTCAGTCTAGTGTTTTATTTAGGTGTCTAGCAAGTGGCAAGATTTTAAAATAAAATTTGCATTGTCTCCCCAGAAAAATCTAGTAGTCTCAACCAGTGACCTTTCAAACGTTGCAAATTAATAATTTGGGTGAAGAAACATTTGAATTTGAAAATGGAAAGAGTATATCTAATTTAAGTTATATTAATATGTCTCCGCTAGTTTTCACAAAAAGCCAGAATTAAGATGACGATCTCATTCATATCAAGGTATTGTAAAATGGCTAGCTGCTCCTGAAAAGGAAACTCATTAAAAACCCCAAACAACAGCATTGCTGGTCGTTTTAAAGGACGGTAGGTCAGGTATAGCCCACCAGGCAAACTTAAAGCAGTTTTTGGTTATTTTAATTGTGCTTTCAAGAGCAAAATTCCAAACATCCGGTATTTTAGCATTTTAAACCTTGGATTTTTGGAATTCCTTTTCATCCCTGAAGTGGAAGCGCTAAATCCCATTGATTTTTAAATTCTCATGGCGGTATTTTGGCATGGCATTATTTGCATTAAGATAATAGGCAAATTTTTTTCAGAAAAAAAAAATTTCAAGATCCCCCTTTCCCTGACAATAATCAATTTCTGAAGGATTCTTGAAGCGGCAGCCCCTCCTCCCAACCCCGAGCCTTTCCAAAGGCCAAGAAACCATAATAATAAACGCCCTTCTAAAAACAGGTGCACTTTACCCCTCCCCTTTTCCCTACCTTAGCCAGGTTAGGATTTTGGAGAGATCTACAAGGTAGGAGTGGGAATTGTCCTCGAAGATTATTTTAGGTATGTATTCCAGCTGTTTCAACGTGTGTTTTTCTTTTCCTAAAGGTGATAAGTAGGGATGGAACGTCTAGACGTAGGAGGCCGGTTGGGCCACCACCAGCACATCTTCAAACGGCATCAATTCTAATTATTTTGTAATTAATTTAGCTGTTACAATTACTTATGCGAAATCAGTTTTTAACTCCGGAACTGTACGTAGCAGAGATGTGAACTCCACCCAGGGAGCGTCTCGTCGGTAAAACCCAGGCAGTGTCAGAAGCCGCGTCCACTCCTGGCTTGCCACCGGGTATCCGAGCCTTTTTCTCGGCGGCGGGTGTGGGCTTGGGGGTCGCTCTGAAAGACACTTCCTCACCAATTCTGAGTCTGTTTTCCTGGTAAACGATCAATGTTAGTGTGTCCCGAGTAAACATTCCGGCGGCAGCCCGAGTCCTAAAATAAAACAGGCTGCTGGGGTGAGAGTTTTTAACTTGATAAACAAGAACCTGATAATCAGTACTGCTGGAGGAGTGACCGTAACCTTCAGCGAGGAGAGCTTTCCTTCGGGCCGTTCCCTTCTAATCTCCTTTTACAAGGAAAACTAAACGGATCTAAATTAGTTTGTGTGTTGCAGCTATAAAAGTCACAAGTTGTTTCACAGTTGTGTCTGGCTAATCGGTTTTTACACAAACAGCAAATGGTACACGATTTGTGCAAACACACAGAGGTTACTTCTAAATTTAGCTGGCACCCCTGGGAAAAGGGAAAGGCAGGGCTTCTTGAATTCACTTTTAGCCTCAAGAAGCTGCTGATCCAAGGCTTCTAAATGACATTGGATAACAGGGGCCTCATTCCATCCCTGATCCTTTGTTACTTATAAAATTACTCGCTCATATTTCCGCGCATAGCAGCAATACCGGCCGAGCCTGAGCACGCAGCGTGACACTCGGATACAAGCTGCCGCTGGAGATCGGCAGGGCCTTTTCCAGCGATGCATTAGGCGGCGCGGTGTAGCGATCGCTGCAACTTTCCTTCCTGCCAATTTTGCTTGAACAACCATCAGCCTCTTTCCCGTGTATTGGGAGAGTAGGAGACTTCATGTTCAAATGTCAGCCGCCAATGGTTATTTCAATACCGGGAGAGTAGAGCCTAGCCCTAACCCTGGGAAAAGAACTAAGCACAAACTGTTTAAATGGTGAAGGCTTAGAGCAGACGAGGAAATGTAAATATTGTAGATCAATGAATTCAAGCACTTATTGGGGTGGGACAAGCTTTAAACCCTCGTCTGACGTTTTCAAACGCAGGCACGTGTAATAAAAGGTGATTAAATCCCTCTAGAATTCAGATTTAAAAACAGTGCAATTGCCACCTGCCTTTCATTACAGTTTAAGAAAGAAATTAAAAGAAAAGAGGAGCATAAATAAAGGAAGCGGGTTGGTTTCAAAGGGGCAAGATGGTAGACTTTCAGTTACACGCCGACTTAAACATTCCCCCACTTCTTCAGACACGGATTTCCAGACATTCAATTCAGTCTCCAAGCTTGGGGCTCCTAATGTGTCCTCAGGGCGGGGTTCCTGAGTGGGCCTCTCACCCAGTCCCTTGCGGGAATACATGGAGGATCTGGAGAATCAAAAATGTGAAATACTCCTACTGGCTGAGTAGAGCTGCGATGATAGATATGGCCTGTAGGGGGCGACGAGCAGATGGAAAACTCCGGAGCTGTTTTTGAAGATCCAACGCTAGACACGCTCACCCCTCCACCCCCACCCTCCGGTCCAGGTCCCTTCCCGGCCAGGTTCTGACTCAAGCCCCCAATACCATCCTTTGTCCTCAGGTCTTGGGACTAGCTGGTGGAATCTCCTAGAAGCTGCGTTCCTTGGTCCGTGTCCTGAAAGGGGCAAGGTCTCGAGGCGAATTAGTCCTAGATATTACGAAACAGTGAAATTTCGTGATGAGGAAATACTGACTCGGAAGCAGTTAAGAATTACACCTGAAGTTCTTTATTTCACAAGGCTTTCTAGGAAGAGTTTTGGTGCGAAGAGAACTGGGAAAGCGAGTGTGTGTGTGTGTGTGGGGGGGGTGTTTTAAAGTGAGTCCTTTGAGAAACTGACTTGTAGAGAATGTGACCTGAAAGGAAGCCAGCTACAGAGGCATGAGTCTACCCAACTACCTGGGCTCCAGACGGTGCGGGCTGCAGCAGAACCGAAATAGTCGCGGCGGGGTTGGGGTGGGGGAGGCATCAGGGTGAGAGAGGCCTCGCAGTAGGCATCCCAACTAGTATTTCCTTTGATTTTAGTCAAGCGGCCTGTTTTTTGATTTTGTTTTGTTAAATCACTCAAATTCTTGGACTCTACCTGCAGAATTAGGTTAGTGTCAGTGGGGGGGGGGGGAAGCTGCATAAATTGTTAAGTGCTGAGAGAACTTTACACTTCACACTCACGCTGGTCTATTCCCCCTCTGCACTCCCCCCTCCACCACGGATTCCAGACAGAGAAACAACCCTACTCTAACACCGCTAGTGTTCGCCTTGGTTTTGAACCTCTCGATGTCACGTGTGCAAAAGAGTTTTATAAACTGGGTCCCAGTCCCTGCTGCCCGGAGGAGGGACGAGCAAAAGCGAGGCAAGCTCAGAGCAGCTTCCCCAAGATTCCAATCTCGAACCGTCCTGGACCACGCCCTGCGCCCTGGGAAGAGTAACCACCCTCCAGCCGAACCTGCTGCGGAAATATTCTTCTCCGGCCCCCCGGTCTACTTTCTTGCTTGTCGGTTTGCTTCCACTAACCCAGGCAAGTGGGGAAATCGGCTGACAGAAGCCCATTAGCGCCAGGCCTGGCCTCGGAGGCGAATTAAAGGTAATCAGATCTCAAACCCGCCTAAAAGACCACCCTCCCACACCGCCTTCCAACAGTTGGCTAGGTGACACCCAGAGCCAACTTCTTCTCCATCGCCACCCACTTTCTCGTGCCCTCTTTAGAATGTACGAACCACGTTTTGCTCTCTGGGGTAAAACTTGCCAAATAGGGTTGTGTACCAAACAGAATTCGAATAGAAACGTAAAATGGGCACAGTCATCCCGGTTTTATTTATCCAGGTGATGTCTTACATCGAGGATTTCCTTAAATTACTCTTAAGAATTAAAATTTCCTACATTTTGTGAAGAATTAAACTAGTCCTCTTCCCCGTTTTTAACATAAAACCGACTCCAAAAGCTTCTTTTCCCAGAGGACGCTGTGTGCACACAGCTCCACCCCGCCAGGGGTGGGAATGGATGGGAACATCACTATTTCCTACCAAAAACTATGCCTAGAATATCGACCTTCTAACAAGCGCCAGGGATAGTCGGCTCCTTTACATATATACATGATCCCCGAAGACCCTGTGTCTTGCCCAAAGTCACTCAACAGGCCAAGCTCTGTTGGTAGTCCTGGATGGAAACATGTTTCTTACCCGGGAAAGACTGTGCCATCTGAGGAAAAGAAAACTGTTCGCCCTGGGGCGAGAGAGGTGGGAGAGGGAAAGGTTAAAGAAGCGCCGGTCTAGGGGCAGTTGCGGAAAGACTGCAGACCTGAGCCTTAGGGCCTTCCCTCCATCCCGG